TCTATACGGAAAACGGGATCTTATAACTTACCAGATAGAAGGTCACTTAGATACAACCAAATAATCCTTCTAAATGAAACGGACCTTCATCACATAGTTGTGAGTTACATTAGAGATAACTACCCAGAGGCCATAATAGTACCTGGTCTAGGTGAGTATCAGGACACTGTGTCAAAGAGATGTGATGCCTGGAAGAAGGGATATAAAGGTGGTCAACCAGATCTTATCATAGAGAATCCTATGGGGAAGTACAAAGGATTTGCTATTGAATTTAAGTCTCCCAAGGGCACCGGAGTTATAAGTGAGAATCAGGATATATGGTTTAGGAAATTGAGGGGAATAGGGTACATGACAATGGTATCAGATGATCTAGTAAAGACTTGCATTAGAATCAATGAGTATTTCTCACTTAAGAAGACTGTAAGAAAGACCATAGTGAAGAATGCAGTTTGCGACGTGAAGACGTACAGACCAAGGTTTAATCCAGGTAAGTTTTGAGTTATCTCACAAGCAAATCTGAGTTATCTCACCAGTTATCTCACCAGTAGATCCGAGTTATCTTACAAGTAAATTTGAGACATCTTACAAACAGATTCAAGTTATCTCACAAGTAGAATCTAAGATGTTTCATAAGACTAAACCCAGTTAAACCTAAGGTATCTTACAAGTAGAATGGAAGATAAACCTGAGCAAATCCGAGAACAAGTAACAAGTGAGAAGAAGAAGGACCCGAAGAGAGTAGCCGCAGGAAAACGATTAGCTGCAATCAGCAAAATAGCAAAGGAGAGGAAAAAGAAACTTGCGGAACCTAAGGAGACATCAGGTAATGATAGTATGATTACCTACATAGGAGTGGCCATTGCACTGGTATCTCTAGTGCTAGCATTCAAGTCGCATCAGAGGGAAACCAGGGAACCGGAACCCAAGCACGTAACTGAGACTGTCGAGATAACTAGGAAAGTTGACGAGTCCAAGTTAGATTCACTTGAATGATACGTTAAACATAATATATATTATAGCAAGATGAGTAAAGAATCAAAGATGACCGCGGAAGTGTACAACGCAGTGTTACTTACAGCAGGAGCAGTTGGTATATCAATGGCATCGAAAAAACTATTAAAAGAACCGTTGGGGACCCCAGAGAATGTAAAAGGAATGGTAAAGCTAGCTGTCTCAGTTAGCCTTTCATCCCTACTAGTATCTTACTTGAAAGATAAGAAGTATATACCAGATGATCCATTTAAAACCTAGGTAAAACTATACAATGGCGTCAGCAGTAGCAGGAGGACTCTTTAATGCATTTGCATTTGCTGGAGCAGGATACCTATTTAAAATGTTTGATAAGAATGGATATGCTAAGGAAGCCCACAGACATAACATTGCAATGGAGAACCTAACAGCTGAAAGAGAGAAGTACCTTGAAGAGGTCACTGATAGGAGAAACAGACTTGCCCAACTGAAGTCAGAATTAGCTGAGGCAAATAGGGATATTAATGCAACAAACAAATCACTGGAACTCGTTAGAAGAATCAATGAGTTAACACGTAAGGCTGTGCCGAGAAGGCCGCAGTTAAGCAATCACTACAAACCTAGCTCTGAGATGGAAGAATATATGGCAATCTTTGGTTTAATTATAGGTGGGGCGGTTGGAGGGGCAGCTTATTTATTGCTATAAAAAATACGGTAATTTTCTTTTACATATATAATATAGAGAAATGGATTGGCTTGCAATGGTAGACGTTGACGAAGTGGTAGCCTTGGGAAAAAGGGTGGACACCATAGAAGAACTAGAGGCCGCAGTCAAAAAATATGTGGAATGGCGAATAATAAGGAGACGTAAAAATAAACCACAAAAACAAGCAGAAAATTTTAACACATATAGTATAGGGGATGGACTGGCTGACACTGGTAACACCTGATGAAATGGAACGAGTCGGTAAGAACGCAAACAACATTGAGGAGTTAGAGGTTGCAGTAATGAAATACGTGAGAAATAAAATGAAGGTCAAACACACATATGACCCAGTATGTAGTGAATGTGGTAGTAAGTCAATTGTAATGATAGACGGAGCAGATACATGCACACAGTGTGGCATAAGTGATATGAATAACTTCACATACTACGTTAGTTACAACCACAACAAGGACGACTACTTGAAAAAGAAATCGTCCCATAATAGAGTCCGTTGGTTTGAGAGACACTTATTCGAGCATGTTGCTTCTGGGGATAGGGATACCATACGGGAGCAGTTTAGAAGCATCGTAAGATGTATACAAAGACTTAGACTGCAAAGGGGGCGCAACATAGTTAGATATAAGTTTTACCTATTAAGGTTAGCCAGCATGAACAACATCATGTTGAGAAACCCACCTGAGGACATCAAGACTCAAAGAATTGTGAACATCCTTGAGGACAGACTATATGGAAAGGTTTTTCCCGAGTTGGGGTGGGAACCCATAAATTGTAAATATTATAATAACTGGAAATTTAGACATAAATAAAATATTAATTATTGGATTAAATAAAATATTAATTATAAAATTAAATAAAATATTAAATTAAATAAAAAATTATTAATTAAATAAAATAAGAATTATTTAATTAAATAAGAATTAAATTATTAAATAAAAATTATTAATTAAATAAAAATTAAATAGGCCTTTAAATAGGCCTATTTTTTTTACCTATAGTATATAGAGAACGAGTGAAAAATGGCGACAAACTTTGACATGAACAACATGACCGTTGAACAACTTATGGCACTTAGTGAGATAGTTGATGATAGCGACATAAGTGATTTCGAGGATGAAGTTGAGAGAATATCTGAGGACAAATTCTATCGAGTTGCACCTAAGGATAAGGGCAAAGATCTCTTTGAAGGAGAAAGACAATTCATAGATGAAGGCGACCGTTCTACTGACCCAAGAAGAGCACGAAGACGACCATTGAATGAGAAGGGTGAGAGGGGAATTATGCCGACGTGGAAATATTCCGAGAGACAGAAGGCAAAGGCTTTGCTGGTTGAGGAGGCATATCAAAGTCTACTCAGTCAGGGAGTTGAGGGTTTACCACCAACAATGGGAGGTAGATGGAGAACTGATGATCCTCAAGTTAATGCGGAGATGAAGAGGCTAGAGAATATTAGGAATCCTAAACGTCCCAGAGGAAGGCCGCCAAAGGCTAAATCTGATGCCAAGGTTGCAATTCCAAAGAAACGTGGAAGACCACCAAAGGCTAAGGTTGACACTGAGGTTGTTATTCCAAAGAAACGTGGAAGACCAGCAAAGGTTAAGTCTGAGGCTGAGGTTGTGATTCCAAAGAAACGTGGAAGACCACCAAAGGTTAAGAAGCAAAGTGTCGCGGAGAGGTTTATGGCTCAAAAGAAAATAAAACTCTCGATTCCTGCAGATAGTGTGATAACCCAGGTGGGACCTAATAAGTTCACGGTGACGGTGGATCTAAACAAAAGACCAACAAGGAAAGCTCCTGAGGTGCCAAAGGGTGTAGCTCCATGGAGGCCTGTTCCTAAGCCAAGGACAGTGTTCCCTAAAGAAAGACCTGTTCCTAAGCCAAGGACAGTGTTCCCCAAAGAAAGACCTGTTCCTAAGCCAAGAACTAAAAAGCCAGTGCCTCCTCCAAAGTTAAGGAAGCCTGTGAAGGCAACGAAAGAAGTTAAGGAACAGCCCGCAGTGGTCACACCAGAGAAACATGAGATTGATCCATTTGGAACATATCTTGAGAAGCCTTCTCATAGAAAGATAGAAACCGCCGCAAATGGTGCAGCGGTGACTTACTCAATAACTCCAAACTTTATGGATCCCTTGGACCAGATGACAGCAAGTAGGCAGGTTGTGAGGGGAATTCTAGTTAATGAGTTGAAGAGAATGGGAGGTCTAAAATATACGGAGACAATTAAGGTGAGAATGTCCAAGGAAATCGAAAATGATAAAACAAAGAAGGATTCAGTGTACTTTAAGTCAAAAACTGGAACTGCAACTAACTTTGAGGATATTGAAAGCACTGCAGCTCAGAACCAACTGACTATCTTATCCAGAATTGAAACTTTCCAGAACTTAGGTTCAAATTGGATTATTCTGAACATTGAGAGTCATTATGTTAATATTGCAATGTACAAACCTCTCAAGGGTAGTTCATATATGAAGTTACCCGCAGACATTAGTAATCCAAAATGCGGCTTAATTAATATGCAAAACATGGATGAGAAATGCTTTATGTGGAGTCATGTGAGACATTTGAGGCCAAAGGCTAGGAGGGCAACTGCTATTACAAAGCAAGATAGGGAGTTCGCGGAGAACCTAGATTATGAAGGTATTGACTTCCCTGTCAAGATAAGTGATATTGACAAAATTGAAAGAAGAAATTCAATAAGTATATCTATATTCGGTTATAAGGGCAAAAAGCAGTTCTACCCAATCAGGAACTCAAAGACTAAATATGATGAACATATGGAGTTGCTGCTGTTAGGTGACAACAACGGTGGTAATCATTATGTCCTAATAAAGGATGTAAATAGAATGCTCTTCAGTGTCAGCTGTAACTCGAACAAGAAGCACTTCTGCTTGTATTGTCTTCATAGTTGCACTAGTGAGGAAACATTAAAGAAACATAGTGAGACATGTGTTAGTGTAAATGGAACTCAAGCCACGAAGCTTCCCAACGCTGGTTCAAAAATAAAGTTCGGTCATTATAGAAATTCAATGCCTGCTCCATTTGTAATCTATGCTGACTTTGAATCTATGCTTGTTCCTGAGGAAAGGAAAGTGGAATCTGAAGACCCTGAGGAGAAGAGTTCAACTGAGCTTTACCAGACGCACAAAGCTTGTAGTTTTGGGTTGAAGACAGTGTGTCACTATGATGATCAGTACTCAGGTGAATATACGAGTTACGTTGGTGAAGATGCTACAGAGGTCTTCTGAAGACAGTTCTGAAGGAATCTATCAGGTGCCGGGAAATGGTGAACAAAATCTTCAAGAAAAAGATGGTAATCACACCTGAACAAGAAGCTGAGTTCTGGATGACAAGAAACTGCTCCATCTGCGGCTGTGACTTAGGTGATGATAGAGTCAGGGACCATGATCATGTAACTGGACTTTACCGCGGAGCTGCTCATAATATGTGTAACTTGAAATATAGAATTACATGGAAACTTCCAGTGGTCTTCCATAATCTAAGAGGTTATGATAGTCATCTGATAATGCAGGAGATTGGCAAGTTTAAGATGAACATTAACGTTGTCCCAAATAACATGGAGAAATACATTTCCTTCTCATTAGGAAAATGTCTTGTGTTCATTGATTCCATCCAATTCATGGCTTCTTCTCTAGAGGCACTTGTGAATAACCTTTCACCTGAAGACTTCAAGATAGTCGGTAAGAGGTGGCCGGAAGAAGACTTTGATCTAGTACGACAAAAAGGAATATTTCCTTATGAATACTTAGATGACATCAGCAAACTAGACTCTGAGGGGCTTCCAAGTAAAGACAAGTTCTATTCGTCTCTATATGAATCTGAAGTGAAAGAAGAAGATTACCAAAAAGCGCAAAAAGTTTGGAATCACTTCAAGATGAAAACGATGAGGGACTACCACGATCTTTATCTAGAGACTGACGTTCTTCTGCTAGCGGATGTCTTTGAGAATTTCAGGAAGACCTGCCTGGAAAATTACAAGCTTGACCCTGCTCATTACATCTCAGCACCTAGTCTAAGTTGGGACGCGTTCTTAAAACAGTCAGGTGAGGAAATAGAATTGGTAAGCGATATGGATATGTTCCAGTTCTTTGAGAAGGGAATGAGAGGTGGGGTAAGTCATATTGCTCATAGACACTCTACGGCGAATAATAAGTATATGGAAACGTATGACGAAGAAGCTGAAAACAAGTTCCTTATGTACCTCGACGCCAACAATTTATATGGCTGGGCGATGTCTCAACCTCTGCATAATGGTGAGTTTGAGTGGATCGAGGAAGTTGACAAAATAAATATTGATGACTACTTAGGAGACAGTGGAAGGGGTATGGTTCTTGAGGTTGATATGGAATATCCAGCAGAACTTCATGAACTTCATAATGGTTACCCTCTAGCTCCAGAAAGTAGGGAGATCGATGTGTCAATGTTATCGGACTATGCTAAGGATATTGCCGATAAATTCCAGCTGACAATTGGAGGTGTAAGGAAACTAGTGAACTCCTTAGGTCCTAGGAAGAATTACGTTCTACATGTTAGGAATCTGAAACTCTACATGGAACTCGGAATGAAACTTGTGAAGGTTCACAGAGCAGTCTCCTTCAAGCAGTCAACTTGGCTGAAAAAATATATTGACTTCAATACTCAAAAACGATCAGTCGCTAAGAATGCGTTCGAGAAAAACTTCTTCAAGTTAATGAACAATTCCATCTATGGAAAGACTATGGAGAATTTGAGGAAGAGAGTTGATGTGAAACTAGTGTCGTCGGAAAACGATCTCCTTAAACTTACGGCGTCTCCATGCTTCCAGTCACATAGGATTATGAATGAGAGCCTGATCGTGGTAAAGAGAATGAAGGAAGTCCTGACTCTGAATAAGCCGTGCTACGTGGGAATGAGTATCTTAGATTTGTCTAAGACTCTAATGTACGACTTCCATTACAACACGATCAAAAAGGAGTACGGTGACAAGTCGAAGCTCCTTTTCACAGACACTGACAGTCTAATGTATGAGATCAAGACTGATGACGTGTACGAGGACTTCAAGAGGATCGGTGAAGAGAAAGATTGTTGGGACAACTCAGATTATCCTAAAGATTCTCCGTATTACTCAGCTCATAACAAGAAGGTAATTGGAAAGTTTAAGGACGAAGCTGAGGGAGTGCCGGTGATTGAATTCGTAGGGTTAAGGTCAAAGATGTACTCTTACGTGAAGGAGAGTGGTGGAGGTGGAATGACAGCTAAAGGTGTAAAAAAGTACGTGATCAGAAACAAACTCACTCACGAAAACTTTAAGAACGTGATTAAGACCAAAGGTAGGATGAGACATAAGATGAACACAATCCGAAGCATCAAGCATAAGATTGGAACCTACCAGCTAAAGAAAATTACACTCAGCTGTTTCGATGACAAAAGATACCTACTTGAAGATGGTGTTACAAGTTACGCGTACGGACACCACTCAATAGGAGATCTAAAGGCTGAGGTGGTGATTGAAGAAAAAGTGGAACCGAGCTGTGTACTAGAAAGGGTTAAAACTCAGAGTGAATACTGTAGACTCGAGGAAGCAGTAGAATTCTACGAAAGCCCCTTCTGGGAAGACTCAGCGTTAGTTGAAGAAAAACCTATTCCTAGACCAGAATATAAAGTAGTGATTTCACGAAGAAGATCAAAGTTCAAAAAACTATTACCGTTAAGGATACTCGTAACTGATGAGAATCACCTAAGGAAAAACTACGACATACTACCAAAAGACGAAAAGGAAACTCTGAAAGCAGTGCTGCAAGAGAAGCTCAAATCATTAGGTGTCGCTGCGGCTAGAACTCCCGGAAGTAAAAAGCTTACACAAATTGGATACTAGAGAATTTAATAGGAATAAAATAAATGATCTAAAAGTAAAATAAAAGTGGTCTAGAAAAATGAGGTAAAAAAGACCAAAGAAAAAATGGTCTAGAAAAATATGAGCCCGCGTTTTTCGGGGAAAATATGGAAACCGCTGACCGGAAGTTGGGTGTGATCGCGGGCCGAAAAAGTGGTCTAGAACCCTCATTCCCTATACTACTAAAAGCCCTTCGATGGCAAGGGCAAAAAGGCCCTTCGAAGCCAAAGGGAAGGGCACTTTGAAGGCAAAGGCAAATTAGGACCTTGGAAGGCAAAGGTAAAAAGGCTCTTGGATGGCAAAGGCCCTTCGAGGGCAAAGCAAAGTCTCCTGGAAAGCAAAGGCCCTATGAAGATAAAGGCAAAAGCAGTTCGAAGGCAAAATGTGAATTGTACGACTCTAACAAGCAAACATCCTCTTTTCTCACAATCACTCCAATCTTGGTACGGCTGTGTTGAAGGATGTTTGCATTACCAATCTATACCCGAGAGTCTAGGACGGAGGATGTTGCCGCGGGCACGTTGATCGATGGCAAAGGCACGTTGATCGATGGCAAAGTCACGTTGATTAATGGCAAAGACTACGGCACTTTGAATGCAAATGCCCTTCGATGGCAAAAGCAGGGGCACTTTGAAGGCAAAGGCGCTTTGGTGGCAATGAAAAAGGCCCTTCGAAGTCAAAGGGAAGGGCACTTTGAAGCAAAGGCCCTTCGATGGCAAAAGCAAGAGCACTTTGAAGGCAAAAGCCCTTCGATGGAAAGGGCAAAGGCCCTTGGAAGCGCACTTTGAAGGCAAGGGCACTTTGAGGGCAAAGGCAAAGTCTCCTGGAAGGCAAAGCGATGGCAATGGCCCTTCGATGGCAGTGGCCCTTCGATGGAAAAAGCAAGGGCACTTTAAAGGCAAACGCCCTTCGATGGCAAAGGCAAATGCAAGGGCAAGTTGTTACAGTCGTACAATGCCAAGAGCGCATTGCACGACTGTAACAAGAAAACATCCTCATTTCTCACAATCACTCGAGTCTTGGTACGGCTGGGTCGGAAGAAGTTGCATTGCCAGAGAGTCTAGCTGTGTAAAGCAATGGAGTAGTTTGAAGCATATTTGTGTGCAGCATTGGCTTCAAGGAAAAGGCAAAGACCCTTCAATGGCAAACGTTCTTCGAAGGCAAAAGCAAAGTCTCTTCGAAAGCAACGACAAATGCCTTTCGAAGGCAAGGGCTGTTCGAAGGCAACAACTTGCGAAGATAAAGGTTATCCGAAGGCAAAGCGTGCATTGTACGATTGTAACTAGCAAACATCCTCATTTCTCACAATTACTCGAGTCTTGGCTCATGGTACGGCTGGGTCGGAGTATTATACAATTACTTTATGGTTTCCGTGTTTGGATGGCCTGATCCAAACACTTGGGAATGTTGCTCGAGTTAAGACAAGCGCGCAAAATCACTCGCCTTCGGCTCGTGTTCGCGCGCTTTTCTTAACAATTCTCACTCTCAAATTACTTAACAAAATCACTCGCCTTCGGTTCGTGTTTCGTGCGTTTTTCTTAACTCTCGCAGCATTTCCGCGAGTTTGGATCAGGCCATACAAACACGGAAACCATAAAGTAATTATTTTATAAAATAACAACTCTCCGTGTTAAAATTTCACTTTAAAAAACTTTGGAAGGCAAAGGGCACGCTTCGAAGCGGAGACAAAAGCCCTCCAAAGCAAAGTGTGAATCGTATATGTACGAGTGTACTCTTTTTCAACTCAAACTAGCAAGCATCCCACCTCACTCACGATCACTCGAAACTTGTTACGGCTGGTTTGGAAGATTAGAGTAGCGAGCGAAACATGATGGTTTGGAAGATGTTCGAGAAAATTCGCTAGTGGTAAGGTCGGTTTTTATACGTCGAATTTTGGTTGCGTTGAATGCAATTAAGACAATAGATAACGAGACGATAAACCTCATTACAGTAAGCCTCATTATCTATTATTCTATTGTTTGAATTGACGTATATAACAGGCATAAGCGAGATTAAAACTGCATTAATTAACCTTTCCAATAATTTGTTACCTTACATAAGGCCTGTTTCAGAATCATCCTCAGAGATACGAAAAACTATCTTTCTTACATTCTCGACATTCCCTCTTAGTCGAATATTAGTATTAATTCTACAATCTCGAGAAAAAAAGTAAGGTGAACAAGTGGCGATAGGCTTTCACTGAAACGATCTAGTGGTAAAGACTACACGCTGTGTAATGTATTATTGTGGTCAAGGCCTACAAAAATCATTTTGTAACTTGAGATGTGTCGAATATATCAATTACACAAGCTAGAGAAAAAAGGTTAATGTGAATAAGTTGCGGTAGCTAGGCCTCCAACAACGAGCAAGTGGTCTAGAAGTAAAGACTACACGGTGTATATGTAGTGTGCCTTTGTAGTTCAAGTTCTACAAAAACCATTTTGTGACTTGAAATGTGTCGAATATTAATTACACAACATAGAAAAAAAATTTAAGATGATAAAGTTGTGGTAGGCTACTAACAACAAGCAAGTCGTCTAGTGGTAAAGACTACACGCCATGTAATATAACCTTTGTGATTCCACAAATATCATTTTGTTACTTAAAATGTGTCGAATATTAATTACTCAAAGCTAGAGAAAAAAGGTAAAGGTGTGTGTTAGGTTTCCAACAACGAGCAAGTGGTCTATAGTGCTAAATACCACACCCTGTGTAATGTACCATTGTGCTTCAAGGCCTACAAAAATCATTTTGTGACTTGAAATGTGTCGAATATGATAAATTACACAATCCAGAGAAAAAAGGTTAAGGTGAATAGGTTGCGGTAGCCTTCCAACAATGAGTAAGTGGTCAAGTGATGAAGACTACACGCTGTGTAATGCACCATTGTGATTCAACAAAAATCTTTTTGTTGTGACTTGAAATTAAATGTGTCGAATATGTGTCGAAATTAGAAAAAAAGCCGGTTGGGGTGAATAAGTTGCGGTAGGTTTACAACAACGAGCAAGTGGTCTAGTAGCCTGATAACAGACCTACGTTTCACCCGCCCTAAAATTCGTCGACGGAAAGAGCGAAACGTTACCCTGGGTGCCAGAAGTTCTTCCACGCTCGTAGGGGGGATAGTGAGGGATACTCGTGTAACCCTCATTATCCCCCTACGAGCGTGGAAGAACCTCTGGCACCCAGGGTAGCGAAACGTAGGTCTGATGAAAATGTTGTCAAAAGCGCCTTCCGCCCACTTTGCATTTTGCAATAATTAACAACGATGATTGACACATAATGTAATACCTAAAAATACAATGAAAGTTTTCGATTTCACTTTATTGCAAGTTTGTAAACTAGTTAGCAGTCGATAAGTACAGATATTCGAATAAATATTTACAATATTGGTAACCCCATGGAGCCCGTTGCTTTTATATACTTAAACCTTTGTAAATAACAGTTACAGCTATAGTAATAATACAACATTTTCAACACATTCTATAAATGCGATAAAATCTGCCTACGGAAATTTGGCAATAGCCATTGTTGAATTGCATCCCAACTCTTCAATTTATACATTTTGAAATCGCCATACAATGGTAAAATCTAAATAGAATATTTTGTACGTGCTATGTTACCAAAATGTAAATCATGAATGCGCACATATTTGTATCCGAGTTTTACTATGATTAATCACAAAACTTACATCGTGTATCAAAAATTATATATTGTATTGTTTATTACAACGGGAAAGATACAACGCTGAAGAATTTGACACGTAACGCTCTACTCCCCTCTAGTTTTAATTTTAGACGGTATATAGTTGCCGTTCGGCATCACAAAATATTTAGAATATTACACTGTATGCATATTTATATGTGTTGATTTACAGTACGTTGAAAATATTCTGATATTTTCAAATCTTTTCATGTTACCGACCAACCAATCACAACCCATTTCCCTGTGAATTAGCCAATTGGCTTTGTCGACCGCCAGGCGGTCGACTTACATGCACTTTTGACAACATTTTCAACCGACCTACGTTTCGCCCTTCCTCGACCCACGAATTTTAGAGCGGGCGAATCGTAGGTCTGTTATCAGGGTAGTGGTCAAGTGGAAAAGGTCTAGTGTGCAATTTTGGTTCAAGTCCCACAAAAATCATTTTGTGACTTGAAATGTATAGAATCTTAATTGCACAAACTAGAGAACAACGGTTTAGGTGAATAATTTGCGAAAGGTTTCCAAAACCGATGAAGTGGTCTACTAGTAAAGACTGCACGCTGTGTAATGTACCATTGCGGTTCAAGTCCTACTGTACCATTGCGGGACAAGGTTCCTGGCGGTGAGAACAAGGTTCCACGCGGTGCGAAAAAGGTCTCTGCGTTGAGGACAAGGTACCTGGCGGTGACAATAAGGTTCCTGGCAGTGAGGACAAGGTTCCTGGCGCTCAGGACAAGGTTCCTGGAGGTGAGGATAAGGTTCCTGCCGGTGAGGACCTTATTCCAGGCCGTGAGGACAAGGTTCCTGGCGGTGAGGACAAGGTTCCTGGCGGTGACGGCAAGGTTCCTGGCGGTGAGGACCTTGTTCCTGGCGGTGAGGACAAGGTTTCTGGCGGTGAGGAAAAGGTTCCTGGCGGTGAGGACCTTGTTCCTGCCGGTGAGGATAAGGTACCTGCCGGTGAGGACAAGGTTCCTGGCGGTGAGGACAAGGTTCCTGGCTGTGACGGCAAGGTTCCTGGCGGTGAGGACCTTGTTCCTGGCGGTGAGGACAAGGTTCCTGGCGGTGAGGAAAAGGTTCCTGGCGGTGAAGACCTTGTTCCTGCCGGTGAGGATAAGGTACCTGCCGGTGAGGACAAGGTTCCTGGCGGTGAGGACAAGGTTCCTGGCGGTGAAGACAAGGATCCTGGCGTGAGGACAAGGTTCCTGCCGGTGAGGACAAGGTTCCTGCCGGTGAGGACAAGGTTCCTGGCGGTTAGGACAAGGTTCCTGCCGGTGAGGACCTTGTTCCTGGAGGTTACGACAAGGTTCCTGCCGGAGAGGACCTTGTTCCAGCAAGTGAGGACAAGGTTCCTGCCGGTGAGGACAACGTTCCTGGCGGTGAGGACAAGGTTCCTGGCCGTGAGGACAAGGTTTCTGGCGGTGAGGACCTTGTTCTTGGCGGTGAGGACAAGGTTTCTGCCGTTGAGGACAAGGTTCCTGGCGGTGAGGCCAAGGTTCCTGGCAGTGAGAACAAGGTTGCTGGCGGTGAGGACAAGGTTCCTAGCGGTGAGGACAAGGTTCCTGCCAGTGAGGACAAGGTTCCTGCCGGTGATGACAAGGTTTCTGCCGGTGAGGACAAGGTTCCTGGCGTGGAGGACAAGGTTCCTTGCCTTGAGGAACTTGTTCCCGGCGGTGAGGACCCTTGCTCCTGACGGTGAGGACAAGGTTCCTGGCGGTGAGAACCTTGTTCCTGGCGGTGAGGACAAGGTTCCTGGCGATGACGACAACGTTCCTGGCTGTGAGCACCTTGTTCCTGCCGGTGAGGACAAGGTTCCTGCCGGTGAGGACAAGGTTCCCGGCCCTGAGGACAAGGTTCCTGGCCCTGAGGACCTTGTTCCTGGCGGTGAGGACCTTGCTCCTGGCGGTGAGGACAAGGTTCCTGTCGGTGAGAACCTTGTTCCTGGGGGGGAGGACAAGGTTCCGGGCGATGACGACAAAGTTCCTGACGGAGAGCACCTTGCTCCTGCCGGTGAGGACAAGGTTCCTGCCGGTGAGAACAAGGTACCTGGCGTTGAGGACAAGGTTCCTGGCGGTGAGGACAAGGTTACTGCCGGTGAGGACAAGGTTCTTGCCGGTGAGGACGAGGTTCCTGGCGTTGAGGAAAAGGATCCTGCCGGTGAGGACAAGGTTCCTACCGGTGAGGACAAGGTTCCTGGCGGTAACGACAAGGTTCCTGGGGGTGAGGACCTTCTTCCTGGCGGTGAGGACAAAGTTCCTGCCGGTGAGGACAAGGTTTCTGGCGGTGAGGACAAGGTTCCTGGCAGTGACTACAAGGTTCCTCGCGGTGAGGATAAGGTTCATGCCGGTGAGGACAACGTTGCTGCCGGTGAGGTCCTTGCTCCTGGCGGAGAGGACAAGGTTCCTGGCGATGAGGACAAGGTTCTGGCGGGCAGGACAAGGTTCCTGCCGGTGACGAAAAGGATCCTGGCGGTGAGCCAAAGGTTCCTGGCAGTGAGAACAAGGTTGCTGGCGGTGAGGACAAGGTTCCTGGCGGGGAGGACAAGGTTCCTGCCGGTGAGGACCTTGCTCCTGGCGGTGATGACAAGGTTCCTGGCGGTGAGAACCTTGTTCCTGGCGGTGAGGACAAGGTTCCTGGCGATGACGACAACGTTCCTGGCGGTGAGCACCTTGTTCCTGCCGGTGAGGACAAGGTTCCTGCCGGTGAAGACAAGGTTGCCGGCCCTGAGGACAAGGTTCCTGGCCCTGAGGACCTTGTTCCTGGCGGTGAAGACCTTGCTCCTGGCGGTGAGCACAAGGTTCCTGGCGGTGAGAACCTTGTTCCTGGGGGTGAGGACAAGTTCCGGGCGATGACGACAAGGTTCCTGACGGTGAGCACCTTGTTACTGCCTGTGAGGACAAGGTTCCTGCCGGTGAGGACAAGGTTCCTGGCGTTAAGGACAAGGTTCCTCGCGTTGAGGACAAGGTTACTGCCGGTGAGGACAAGGTTCCTGCCGGTGACGACAAGGTTCCTGGCGGTGAGGACCTTGTTCCTGGAGGTGAGGACAAGGTTCCTGCCGGCGAGGACAAGATTCCTGGCGGTGAGGACAAAGTTTCTGGCAGTGAGGACAAGGTTCCTGGCGGTGAGGTCAAGGTTCTTGGCGGTGAGGACAAGGTTCCTGGCGGTGACGACAAGGTTACTGCCGGTGAGGACAAGGTTCCTGCCGGTGAGGACAACGTTCCTGCTGGTGAGGACAAGGTTCCTGGCCGTGAGGACAAGGTTTCTGGCGGCGAGGACAAGGTTCCTGGCGGTGAGGTCAAGGTTCTTGGCGGTGAGGACAAGGTTCCTGGCGGTGAAGACAAGGATCCTGGTGGTGAGGACAAGGTTCCTGCCGGTGAGGAGAAGGTTCCTGGGGGTGAGGACAAAGTTCCTGCCGGTGAGGACAAGGTTCCTTCCGTTGAGGAGCTTGTTCTGGAGGTGAGGTGAGCATAAGGTTCATGCCGGTGAGAAAAACGTTGCTGCCGGTGAAAACCTTGCTCCTGGTGGTGAGGACAAGGTTCCTGCAGGTGAGAACAAGGTTCCTGGCGGTGAGGACAAGGTTCCTGCCGAAGAGGACAAGGTTCCTGGCGGTGGAGACCTTGTTCCTGGCGGTGAGGACAATGTTCCTGCCAATGAGGACAAGGTTCCTGGCGGGGAGGAGAAGGTTCCTGACGGTGACAACAAGGTTCCTGCCGGTGAGGACAAGGTTCCCGGCGGTGAAAACAAGTTTCCTGGCGGTGAGGACAAGGTTCGTGCCGGCGAGAACAAGGTTCCTGCCGGTGAGGACAAGGTTGTTGGCGGTGAGGACAAGGATCCTGTCGGTGAGAACAAGGTTCCTGGCGGTGACCACAAGGTTTCTGGCGGAAAGGGCAAGGTTCCTGGCGGTGAGGAGAAATTTCCTGGCGGTGAGAACAAGTTTGCTGGCGGTGAGGACAAGATTCCTGGCGGTGAGAACAAGGTTCCTGGCGGTGAAGACAAGGATCCTGGCAGTGAGGACAAGGTTCATGCCGGTGAGGACAAGGTTCCTGGCTGTGAGGACAAGGTTCCTGGCGCTTAGGACAAGGTTCCTGCCGGTGAGGAAAA